CCCAGTGCCAGTCCACCTGATGGCACGCGTCAGACCTTGACTTGACTGGCTGGTTTGCAGGCAGGCGTGCATAGTAACGGGTTTGATAAGTACTCTTGGAAAATTGCTGCATCATCTTTTGATGACCAAGCAATCCCTTCAAAAAAACCTGTGGTTCATCAAGCTTTACTGGACTGTGTTCAGTAAACTTAATTACTGTCTTTTCAATGAGGTGCTCACACTTTATGGCCGCACTGGTGGTGAGGGGCTTCTCGCCCGGTATGGAGTTTTCAAGGCCTTTTGGGCCTCAACTAAGTTCAGGCTCTGTCAATACTTCCTGAAAGCATGGGGGAGCCAAGAGAGAGCCTGTAACTATCCAGCCAAGTCCCCCCTACACCTTTGCTCATCATCTAGACTCCCACAGGTAGCAGTCAGCCCCCTGGGAAGGAGCTGCTCAGATTTTCCTGGACTGTTCAGCCCTTTCCAGAGCTCACAGGTTAATCACTTTGTCATCAGAGGCCTGAGCAGTGATTACATTCAGCTGTGTAGTTAGCTGGCCTTGGCACCAGCCTTTGGTGGGGGGTGGGGGGAGGACTGGCCTGGCCCTGAGGGACGTCTGGCAGGAGAATCAGAGCAGCCCTCTACCACTGGCTCCAGCTTTCTACTGGTGACACATAAGAGGATTAGGGCTCAGGACTCTGCACAAGGGGCTTTTATTCTCAGGACCACATTTTCATTGGTTTGCAGAGCCCCAGAAACAGGAACAAAAGGTGGGGAGAAACTGCCAGATCCCTGGCCCTCCATACCCTGTGTTTTGGGGATTGAGGGAGCCTCAATCCCATTTGGTGGGTGCTTAGCATCCAGCCTCAGCAGGTCTGCCTGAGGCGTGCTCTCCAGTGGAAGCGGTGGTGGGCGTCCTCACCCTGCCTCAGAGCACAGAGGCCTGAGCCATTTGCAGAGTGACCCAGCCAATTTTCCAACGTGACACTGGCTGGGAAGGGAGTCATGGAATCATGGGATGTGAGGATGGGAGGATTTCAGCCTTGTAGGAATTTAGAGGCCCAGAGAGAGGCCATGGCTTGCCCAGCATTGCTCAGGAGGCAGGGCCTGAGCTAAGAGAGCCTGGGAGTTGGGCTTGTCCGCCAGAAAGACTTGAGGCTGGCTTCTCTCCAGATTTATTCTAAGTGGAATTACACAATATGTATTCTTTTGGATAATGGTTCTTTTAGCGTAATGGTTCTGGGTGCTAAATGTACAGCATTTTGCTCTTTTATATTGCTGAGTATATGCCATAGTTTATTTAGTCACCAGGTGCTGGGCTTTTTATTTATCCTCATTTTTTATGTGTTACAACGAAAACTATTAGGAGCATTCCTATATATATATATATATATATATTTTTTTTTTTTTGTGAAAATTTTGATCACTGGGTCATAGGGGTTAAATCTTAGCACTGACACTATGAGGGCCGAGTTCCACCCTGGCTAGGAGGTGACCCACATGGTGCAGCAGACCTCTCCTGTCTCACCCACTGCTCCCCTCAGCAGTGTATTTCACACAATCTGCCTGTTCTGCTCCCCACTCTGTCTCTGGTGAATCCTCTCATCCCCGCACCTCTGGCTTAGACTCCTATTCTTATATGCATAAATAAATAAATCCTTTAAAAAATTTTTTTTGATCATAGAAAATTTAGAGAATAAGTACGGCAAAATTTTTTTCAAGTAAAAACATTTACTTTAGTTCTTTTCTTTTAAGAAAATACACCCGCCCCCATATGTGCTTCCTCTTCCTCCCTCCCTAGAATAATCACCATCCAGATTCTAGAGCTTATTATTCTCAGTGGAGTTGTTGGCACATTTCACTAGCAATAATCACTCATTCTATTCAACAATCACTGAGCACCCACTATGTGCAAAGCATTGGTCTAGACACAGGGATCCAGCAATGAGCCTAACAGGCAAAACTCCTCACCCTTAGAAAGCAGACATCCCAGAGTGGGAGACACGAAATAATTAAAATGTATAGTGTATTGGTGGCAGTAAGTGTTGGGGGAGAAGGGAGGTGGGTGATAACACAGGAGTAACTTGAAATGTTAAATGGGGTAGTCAGAAAAGACCTTACTGAGGTGTTTCACTTTCAATGGCTGTGTAAGAAATATCTCCCCAAACCCAGTGAGTTAAACCCAAGGATCATTTGTTACTTCTGGTTTCTGTGAGTCAGGAATTTGGGAGCATCTCAGCTGGTTGGTTCTAATTCAGGATGTCCGTGAGTTGCGGTCAGAAAGTGGATGGGCCTGGGATCACCACCCTAAAGTCTCCTTCGCTAACATGTCTGGTGCTTGACTGGTTAAGACCCAACAACTGGAAACAAGCTTGCTGGGCTTCTCAGTTATTTTCTCTGTGGTCTTTCCACTTGGGAAAGTTCCCTGCTGGGCTTCCAGAGAGGGTGGTTAAGGGGGAACTACAGCAGATGGGGGTGGGAGTGGGTGAGGGTGGTAAGCGGTAGAGACTGCTATCAGTAGTTGCACTGAAGGTTTTGACCTCTAGGATGGGTCAGCACTTGGGACCCTGGCCAAAGGCTTTGGAATACAGCCTCCAGACTTATTAACCAGTGAAATAGCTGGTATCTTCTGCCCTCTCGAGGATAGTCACAGAATTACTTAGACTTCCAGCTTTGCTTCTCTTTTGTTAGGAGTCTATAATTTTTGAGTTCATTTTCTCCCACCCCACCCTCACTCCCCAGCCATGTGTGGGTTCACTTTTTATTTTTAAAATTTGTTATGCATACAAGAAATGGGGTTCAGGCTAGAGATGTGGGCATGGGGGTGAGAGGATTCACCAGAGACAGAGTGGGGAGTAGAACAGACAGATCCACTACTGAAATACACTGTGGAGGGGAGCAGCAGGCAAGACAGGAAAGGGTCACATCCCTGGCTGGTGATCGAACCCAGGCTGAAGTGGCTGTGGATAGCTTCATAGTGTTGTCTTTAACACCAGGGAGGCCCAAGGATTCAGTTTTAACTCTGGATTATAGAGACTCTTGTCACAGATGGTATAACTGTCAGGCAGCACAGGGAAGAAAAAATTCATCAGCTTAGAGACAGAAAGGCAAAGGGAAACTTTGGTGTAGATGCAGCAGGTTTTGGAGAGAGGCTGAGACAGGGCTAGGTGATGTTTTCCAGCAGCGACAGATGCATCGCTTCTTGAGCTCTTTAGAGCAGGTGGCTTCCCAGAAGGAGGATAAGGGAAGACACTGAGGGTGACTGCCAGAGAGCTCTTTTTTTTTTTTTTTTTTTTTTGGTGTTAAACACCATTATAGGGTGGTCTAGTTTTGTCTCGAATGATCACCTTCATCTGATGTTGATGTTTTATAAAATTGTTTACATGCTACAGGAAAATACCAAGACCTAGCTCTGAATGCTCATCCAGCCAGTTCCTGGATGCCAGGGGCAAATTTTTTTCTTTCCCACATTAAGTGTGAAACATCCCATTATTGGCTGGAAGATCAAAGTCCCTTGCACAAAAGTAGTCTGGATGTACAGATGTACAGCTCAGGTGCAGAGCTTCAGATAAATGACTACATTACATATGTCTTAAGCCTGTAATCTTCACAGAAACCTGGAGTCTACTTTCCAGTCCTGATCAGATATTGACCCCTTCCCACATATCTGTACTCTAATCTGAATCTATCAAAACACTGCTCCATTTAAACTTCACCTTAACTCCATCAGTCCTCCAATCTTATATCAACTCTCCTTTGCTCCGCTAGGAGCAGACACATTGCACTTACTGAGGCTTCTTGGATTAAAATGAAACTGTATGTTAAAGGTACATGCTATGGGAGAAATAAAAGCAGGATGTGCTGAGGAAGAAGTATACCATTTAATTAGGGCACTGTGGGAAGGCCTTGCCTCCCTGGACATCCGAGCAAAGAACTGAAGGAAGTAGGGAATTTTTTTTTTTAATAATGTTAATAGTTTGTTTTCACATCATGTTGTGCCTTTTTCCATCTCAGTTGTACTCTTCGTGGGCTTCCCATCACCAAATCACCCTGTGCCATCACCATAGTCCAGGGCATTTCTCTCCTCACTGCCGTTTTCGATCCCATTCCCCACTCCACCCCCATAAAATGTCTCTGGTATATAGTTGTTCATTATTATTGTTATTCTCTCACCTGGTCCTTTATAATCCTGCTATGAGTGAAACCATCCGATATTTTTCCTTTTCTTTCTGGCTTATTTCACTAAGCATGATCCCTTCCAGCTCCATCCATGTTGCTGCAAAGGCATGTGTTTATTTTTTCCTGTTGCTGAGTAATATCCCATTGTGTATATGTACATCTTTTTTTAATCCAGTCATCTGGACGTAGGGAATTTTAAAAAAAGTGTGCTGTGTACCTCGGAGAAGAGCATTCCAGGAAGAACAGTATGTACAATGGCTCTAAAGAGGAGCTATGCAGGCATGTGTCAATCACATTTTTTACAAAATATTTATTTTTCATAGTTTATTTTTATATCATTTTGTGCATTTTTTCCATCTCAATTTAATCCCTGTGGGCTTCCCATCACCAAATCACCCGTGTGTCAATCACATTTTCTAAATGAGCCTATCCTGACCAACTCTTCAATCTCAAAATCTACCCCTACACCATTATTCTTTTATCTTGCTTTTCTCAAAAGAAAGTGCCAAGCTACAATTCCTTGTTTGTTTTTTGCTTTGTGCAAGGGCGGGTCCGAGCTTCTAGCAGTATGAAACACAGGTGGTACGTGACAGAGCACGGACAGTACAGCCAGGAGGCGGCAGAATGCGCAGAGAGTGTGGCCACAGGGACGAACAAGCGACCAGGTCGCAGCGTCAGGGTATTCACACTTAGGGAAGGAGCCGCACGCCCCACCAGCTTCAGCATCCCACTTTCCGCGCGTGCGCCGGCTGCGACCTATGCCCACGCACCCGCCTAATTGGCTGCGACAGGCGCCTAGAAGTGGCGTTGCACATGCGCACTTCTACCGCGCGCCGGGATTCTTGAGCGGCGTGTTCCTTTAAGCCTCCGTCGTCTCCACCTCAGCTCCAGTTCCCGGTCTGGGGCGCTAGTCTGTTTGGAATGTTCGTGGAACTCAATAACCTTCTCAACACCACCCCTGACAAAGTGGAACAGGTAAGATGTCACTTGATGTGGAAGGGGGCGGGTTCCGGGAGCGTGGCGAAAGACCTGATGAAGCAAGCGCACGCGGCCCCCTGGGAAAGATGGGACGTAACGCGTGTGCGGGGGCTCCTGGGAGTTGTAGTTGGGAGCGGGAGGCCAGGCTGGGCCTTGTGCCTGCGGATGTTCAAAGTTCCCAGGAAGCACTTCAGACGTCTTTATTGGCTTAGGTTCACATCCTTGTGTACCCGGGACCCTATCCGTGCTCACTAGAATGGGAGTTCCAGGCGCCCGTGGGAGGCTTCTAGAGAGGAGAGAATTTAAATTTACATCCTTCGCATGGTACCAGCTTCTTCACCTCCCCATGCATTTGAGACCCAGGAGCACCCAGCAGATCCCAAGTAACGCGGCACCACAGTCTCCCCAGCCTGCTTTCTCCACCCTCCTCCCCACACTCTAGGACCCCTCAACATCTATTTTTTTTTTTTTTACGTTTTAGCCCAAAAAAACTCAGGGATGTCTGGTTTATTTCATAACCTTTTCCTCCCTAATGAAATTATAAACTCCTCCAGGCAGCCGTGGAGGTACCATACAGGTAAAGCTTTTTTGTAACCAGTATAGCACCAGGCAAATTAGAGCTTTTGTTAGCTCCTCTTGTAGTTGCCCAGTCTTGTCTGTCTAAGCCTCGTGGTGGACACGACAGGTACTACCCACACCTCAAAAGTCCTCATCGCTGAGCCAGAGTAAGGGAATGGAGGATCCAGGTGGGCACCAAGAAGTGTTTCACTGGAGTGTAACCCTCAAGGTCTGATAGTGTGATCTTTCATATTTATATGTGAAAAAAGCCACAACAGCACAAAGGTGGTATGTCTGATAGACTTGATCCTTCCCTTCTCTGTCATTGAGGAGGGTGGAGCAGAGAAGCCAGGCACTGTAGAAACCATCCTTAGAGGACTTTCCTTTACGGGGCAGGGAGAGGGGCACCCTAGAACCCCCAAACCTTCGCGCTCTAGATAGGTTTTGCCATCTGCAGCAGCAAGACAAAAACACTTAAGACCTTTAATGGAAAGGAACTTTAATGCAATTCATGTGCAATATAGACAAGACAAAGAATATAGTTTCCAAATCTAGCACCCAGAGTTACTCATTCCCTCATGAGTAAATGTCCAGCCAAACAGAATTGGCCTAAAGCAAGATGGGAAAGCCTGCCACAAGTCTAAAGCACCTTCCAGTGGGGAGCCATAGAAAAGGGTAAGAAACTGTCAGACAAGTCTGGGAGGAAAAGAGCAAAATCATGATAACAGCTGCCATTGTTAACAGGTTTTGTTTTTTTTAAAGATTTATTTATTTATGCATACAGGAACTGGGGCACAGGCCAGAGGTACAGGGGTGGGGTGTATGAGAGGATTCACCAGAGACAGACTGGGGAACAGAAGAAGCAGATGGACTGAAACACACTACTGAGGGGAGCAGTGCACAGGACAGGAGAGGTCTGCTGAGCCATGTGGGTCATTTCCCTGGTTTCCTGGCTGGGATGGAACTCCTCCAGTGGCTACGGACAGCTTCTTAGTGCTGTGTTTTAACCCATTGTGCCACCAGGGAGCTATCTATATCTGTTTCAGCCAGTCCACGACCAAGAAATCAGTGCAGCTTCTTCACATGTTTCTCTACTCAGTGTGCCTCGTCTAGGTCTCCTTGCTCTTGGTCCTGCTTCTTGCTCTTGGTCCTGTCTCTCTCCAGCTTCTCCTCCCTGCTCAGCAGCATTCGGCCTTGGGTGTCAGGAACCAGGAACCTCCCCTTTTCCTGGGGACCATCCTCTTACATTTTCAAGACTCATGATCATGGGAGAGTATGCATTGTGATCACTGAAGAGTATGTAGTGGAGATTTTTGTTTCTGAAGGTCTCTGTTATGAACTGCTTCTCTCTCCTTCAGTTTGTAGGATGAATTGGCATGAGAATTAGAAATAAGAAGGAAGTTGGATCAGTTGGGTCAAAAAACCTATTTTAAAAATACACAAATCTTATCAGTGTTCATTTTTTGTATAATATTTGATTTCTCCTCTCAGGCATTGTCCCTGTAGATTTATTTTTATTTATTTGTGCATATAAGAATAGGGATACAAGCCAGAGGTGCCGGGGGTGAGAGGATTCATCAGAGACAGAGTGGGGAACAAAAAAGGCAGATCTACTGAAATAAAGAGTGGGGAACAAAAAAGGCAGAACTACTGAAATACAGTGCTGAGGGGAACAGCAGGCAAGACAGGAGAGGTCTCCTGTGCCATGTGGGTCAGCTCTCTGGGGATTGAACTCTTACTGCAGTGACTGGTGATAACTTGATAGCTCTGAGATTTTAACCTCTGTACCATCTATTAGGGAGGCCCCAGTTTTTCTTTATTGAGAAAGTGGAGGCTCAGATGTGTTTGTTTACCATAAGTGACTTAATGATATTTATTATTTTAATAATTGATATTTCCATGATTTTGACTTTTTCTTTTTTGTAAATATATCATATATACACAATTTAAAAATTACTCTACAGGTGTTGAAATTTGGAGATGGCCATAATTGATTAGATTTCTACCCTCAGCTGACCTCTTTCCACAGAGTCTCATTCACCTTTTTGTGTTCTTAACTTTCAGGGTAAACTGACACTACTCTGTGATGACAAGACCGATGGCAGTTTTCTTGTGCACCATTTTCTCTCCTTCTACCTCAGAGGTATGGGACTCATTGATGCTGTAGGGAAAGAAACCCAAGGCAAAAATTAAAGCACCTGTTTCTGGAAGCAGTGAGAATAATATTAACTAGCCAGGACTTTGGTGTTTACTAGGTCACAGTTTGTTGACTTGTTCCTTCTCCAACCCTGCCAAAGAATGACATGTGCTCACTTACATGCATAGGTGCTCCTTTCCTATTCTCCAGCCACGACTCCTCCAGCCGCGACTCTGGGACTCCCTCACTGAGGTCCTTTTGTGGCCGCCTGATTTAGTTGCCCCCCCAGACCTGTGCATCTTGAAGTCTCTGGGCACTGGCAATAGTTGCTTCCTAAATAACACAGGGAAGAAAACAGCATGGCTACTGCAGTTCACAAGTGGAAAGAGGTTCAGAGAAGAACACAATGAAATAAAAAAGACTCATCTGTCAGTTGATGGTCTCTGATCACCAACGGAGTGAGGCCAGGAGACATGTTGGCCCTTTGGCACTCTTAGTCATTCATAGATTTGAAAGTCATTTTCTTGTGAGTTTATTGTTAGCATAGAAAGAATAAGGTAACTGGCTCTATAAGGTCAGAGACAAGATTTTGTGATGGCAAAAGAGCAGGAGACCTCCAGATACATTATTAGAATTCATTCTCAGTAAGGTAGCTAGGGCTTCTTTATTCCCCTTCTACCTTCTTAAGTAACAAGTAGAGAGATGGATAAAAGCAAGGGGAAAAGATGAGACATTAAAAATCAATTATTTTCTTGTATACTACCAAAAAACACATTGAAAAATAGAATTTAAAAAACAGCAACACTATTTACAACAAAACAAAAGAGAACTTACACATCTAGCAGAAGTGCATTTCAGAATAGTGAAATAAGGTACAACTACTAAACATGATAAAAATGCATCTGAGAATTAAGAGTTTCTCAGGCTTTGAGGTCTCTGGCTCTTGAGACTTGTCTCGGTGCTTTTGTTTCCAGAGACTTAAAGTGTATGAGACAGGTTGTAAGCAGGGAATTTATTAAAACTCCATTTATTTTGTTTTCCAGCTAACTGTAAAGTCTGTTTTGTGGCACTCATTCAGTCCTTCAGTCACTACAATATTGTGGGACAGAAGTTGGTAAGTATTTTAGACCTCTGTGGTTAAATGAGTATGTGTGTGTCAGGCACTTGAGCAGGGTATTAGACTGGCATTGTAGAGAACTTAGCAAATGTGAGACTTGGGAAATTATGGGATCCTGAACCCCTTATTTGATGGACTGAGACCGCATCTCTGCATGTTCTATTAACTAGTTTGTAGATCTATTGTCAATCAAACCTACCTCTACGGAATCTAGGCCAGATAAGGTTTTCTTCCTAGTATAGGCTTTTTTTAAAAAAAAAAAAAAAAAAAGATTTACTTATTGGGGTCCTCCCTGGTGGCTCAATGGGGTAGAGCTCAGTACTTCAAACAAGCCGCAGCCGCTTCATTGAGTGTTTGATCCCCACCCCGGGGGAGATCCACATGGCACAGCAGACCTCTCTTGACCTACCCGCTGCTCCCCTCAGCAGTGTACTTTGTCGGTCTGCCTTTAAAGATTTATTATTTATACATACAGAATTGGGGGTATAGGCCAGAGGTGCATGGGCAGTGAGAGGGTTCACCAGAGACAGAGTGGGGAGCAGAACAGGCTGGGGAGAGCAGCGGACGGGTCAGGAGAGGTCTGCTGGAGCCAGGAATCGAACACGTACTGAAGTGGCTGTGGCTAGCTTGCAGTGCTGTGTCCTAATCCATTGCACCACCAGGGAGGGCCTAGTATGGGCTTTAATCTTGCATTGGGTTAGATATCACAGCTTGTGTTTGGGACCCACATGTTGGGATAAGTGCTTTTGTCACCTGCTCCTCACCTTATCTTGGCTTATACTCATCTCACCCATACAGGGAGGCAAAAGTAAGATGGCCAAGAGAATGGTGAATCTCCCGGCTTAGTCTGGGCCCTCACCTGTGACCTTTAGCCAGATGTATTTCCTGGGATTCTTTTTAAAATCAGCCCCAGAAAGGGAGAGAACCAGACCACCCATCAGCAGTGATCTTTGACACGCCAGTTTTATTATTGGGCCAAGTAACTTTTGCTTCTCTGCTGTTTCCCTGAGGAGAAGCAAGTGAGAGTGTGAGGGGAAGGTAGACTCTCTTTTTCCCATCCTTTGCAGAGAAGGATGAAGTTCCTGTATTAGAGATCAGAGCATGAGCTGAGGGTGAGTACTCGTTGAGAATACATGTAGGATTCCAGGTCTGTGAAACCTGTGTGTATGGCCCTAGCATCTGTGTTTCCAGATAGAAAGCTGTGGACTGTCAAGTCCAGACTGCCTACTTTTTCTATTACCTTTGAATCACAGTACAACAGGAATGGCATGCATAGTACTGGGCATGAAATACTAGAGTGAGTATCAGGAGACTGGTAGTGAGCAAGAGCAAAGGTAATGATCAGGAATCTCTCATGGGCTGCTGTTGAAGCTGATGTTGCTGTGTAATGGAGGACACCAGTGTGTGAACAAGCCATTAAGACATAGGCTGAGGACGTGAGGAATCTACAGAGTTCCATGTAACCTGTTTTTGCGCAGATAGAACATTGGGTTCAATATTTAGACTGTATCACAAACACACCCCTTGATGTTTGTTGAAATGCAGATTCTTGGGCTCTGCCCCTAAAGCTTCTAGTTCTAGAGAGCTTGAGGAGGGCTCTAGCATGTGCATTTTAATGAGGTATCTTGAGATTCTTTTTTTTTTTAAGTCTTATTTTTTATTTCTGCATACAAGAACTGGGATATATGCCAGAAGTGCAGGGGGTAGGAGTGAGAGGACTCACCAGCGACAGAGTGGGGAGCAGAACAGGCAGATGGACAAAGTACACTGCTGAGGGGAGCCGCAGACAGAGAGGTCTGCTGCACCATGTGGGTCAGCTCCCTGGCCGGGGATCGAATTCAGAACATTTAAAGGAAAAGAGTAGAGGCCTGTTTGGTGGCACAGAGGTTAAGTCTCAGCACAATGAAGCTTTCCCCAGCCAGGGAGCCAACCCACTTGGCCCGGCCTACCTCTCCTGTCTCGTCCACTGCTCCCCTCGGCAGTGTAGTTCAGTAGATCTGCCTGTTCTGCTCCCCACTCTGTCGCTGGTGAATCCTCTCACAGCCTCTGCACACAACTGCCCCCCTCCATCTCTGGCCTACACCACAGCTCTTGTATGCATAAATAAATAAATAAAATAAATCTTTTTAAAAAATAAACAAAGGAAAAGGGTGGAGAAGAACTTACTCGTAATGAGTTCTTTCTGTCTACGTTATAGGCACCCTGGCAGTTGCAGTCGATGAGTTCCATTACTTAAAACTTTAGAAGAGCCCGGAAGTCCCATATCACTGATGGCTAAATAAAGGTTTATGAAATTCAAAACCAGAAACTGATTCTTTCTCCTGCAGCAGCATTTCCCAGGCCTTGATTAGTCTTATTGTTACTATTTATTTAGTGCTTAATTTTGTAAATACTTGCCTTTTCAAAGGAAACTTTATATCAGTGTTACATTAGAAAACTATTACTGGATAATCACATAAGTAAATAAATAGGTAAATGGGTAAACAAACTCATTTACCAAAAAAGTGACTTGTAGATATATATCTAAACACAGGGTGGGGACAGTGGGTTGGCAACACTCCAGAAAAAGAAGGCATGGGCCCTTCCCTTAGGGTGGACAGGTGTGCATTTATAGGGTGTGGAGTCTGTTGTGCACATTTGTGAGCTGGAGTCTGTCCTCTGATGGGTTTCCCTGCAAGGTGCAGTAACTCACTGTCACGTTTAGGGTGTCAGCCTGACCGCAGCACGGGCACGTGGGCAGCTTGTGTTCCTTGAAGGCGTCAGGTCCTCTCTGGACGTCTTCTTCCAGACTCAAGAGGAGCTACACCCTCTGCAGTTTCTCAGGTCAGTCGCCTGCAGCCCGGCCCAGAAGTGCGCACTGGCAGTTGGGCCCAGACCAGGCTTGTCTGTGAGCCCTTCTCCGTGGTGTGCAGCAGGCAGAGCTGGCTTCAGGAATCAGCCACATCCCTGCAGTTGTAGCGGTTTTGGAAATCTTTGACTTGTAGCATGGGCCGAAGAGTAGATGATTCTCCCCAGAACTCTGGTTTTATTTACTGGGAGTGTGGCAGAATAGCATGCTTTGCTGTATCTTCCTTCCCTAACTAAGAGCCCTAACACTTTTGTTTCATTCTCGGCTTGATACAGGCGTCAGCGAACTAGGGGCTAAGAGTCAGCTACCTGTGTTTATGATAAAGTTGTATTGGAACACAGCCACATTCCTTTGTTTGCACTTTGTCTTTAGCTGTTTTTGCACCATAACAGCAGTCATTGAGACAGAGCCCATCTGACCCACCAATCTAAAATATTTACTGTGAGAGAGAGATCATGCGAGCGCAAGCAAGCCCATTTGGTATCCTGAGATTGTTTTTTCTGCTTCTTAAACTTTATGAGCATACGCCACAAGCAGCTCTGTGCAGCTCTGACTACCATTCTCCTTCCACCACAAACGGGTTCTCCCTCCACCACAGATGGGTCCCTAGGAGCTCTTCCCACTGCTCCCTCTCTCTGACAGCCTCATGGGGTGACTGGAGGCAGTGTGAGTCATGACCCTTTCTGTGTAACCCTGCGCACAGCCCTTTGCTTCTCTGAAACTGTCTTCGTCTGAATGATAGGCCTGGTGACGTGACCGCAGGTCACGGGGACTTTTGTCCTTGTTGTTCATAGGGCGTAACCCTGGAATGTGGCAGGTCTCTGGGCCTATTCTCGGTTTTTGGTGCCCCACCTATAGCTGGAAAACAGCTGCTGAGTGCAGTCTTGGGGAGACTAAGAGACAGCTGGAACAGCTTGTGTCAGAAACAGGTTGAATCTGTTATGTACACAATCACCTTAGGCCACTAGCTCTACCATAGGACACCTGATTGCAATTTAGCTTTTTATGCCAAGTTTGAACCTTCTGGGAAGCCTCCTGCCTGCCTAATCCAAGTAAAATTCAGTAAACATCCAAGTAAACTTGGACTGAGAGGCAATATGGGGTCTCTTAAGGAGCCAGGGCCTGATGATTTTTGTGTTCTTCAATTTCTAGCACAGTGCTTTACACCTAATAGGCCTTAGGGAATATATGACTTGAAATACGACTTCTTTATTTGCACTTGCACGCCTTTTCTTTCTCACTAGATCGTGAAACCATAGGTGCCAAGGAATGAGATCCCCCACAGCTGTGATCTCGCCTTCCCACAGCTGTTTTCTGTGGTGCTGCAAGGTCTCAGACGAACATTTGTAGAGAGAGTAAACTGGCAACTCTTACCTTGTGTCCCAGGGAGGCCAGCGCTGGGAACCTGCAGCCGCTGTATGAGTTTGTGCAGAAGGCCATGAAGCCCATGGACAGTGGGGAGGCTGTGTGGAGGTGCCCAGTGCTGCTGGTCGACGACCTCAGTGTGCTGCTGAGTCTGGGTGTGGGGGCAGTGGCTGTGCTGGACTTCATCCACTACTGCAGAGCCTCTGTGTGCTCCGAACTGAAGGTACTGATGGGGCTGCCCTCTCTGCTCCCGCCTGTGACCTCCAAGGGCTCCACATCCTGCTTGCAGTGATGTTTTCTGTTTATTTGCTTGGGGGCTTACCAGTCTTGCTCACCCAGACTGTGCGGTGTGTCCCAGGTATCTTATGAAGATCAACTGAGATAATGGGTGTAAATGGCTTTAAAAGTTGGGAGGTGCAATACAAGTATAGGATATAATCAGTAAAGGTTACAATAAAGTCAAATTATGAGACAAAGAAAAGATTTTGCCAAAATAGAGGATTTTTCCCCCTCAAAAATAGAGATTTTTTTTTTATGCATACAAGAACTAGATATAGGCTAGAGGGGTGGGGGATGAGAGGACTCACCAGAGGCAGAGTGGGAGCAGAACAGGCAGATTGATGAAGTACACTGCTGAGGGGAGCAGCAGGCGGGTCAGGAGAGGTCTCCCGCGCCATGTGATCACCTCCGGGACTGTGAATCGAACTTGCGCTGAAGTAGCTGCATCCAGCTTGCAGTGCTGCACCCTAATTTTTTGCACCACCAGGGAGGGTCCTGTTTGGTCCTTTCTTATATAGCACAGTATATTTTGGTGTCCATTGTCCAAAACCAGGATACATTAATTTTTTTTTTTTAAACAATTTGTAAGGACTTACTCAAGGCATTCCAATTTAATGGGGTTGATCTTCCTCTCTTTGCTTGGCTGACTTCTGCATGCCCTTCTGACCGCGGCTCAGCTGTGCCCACACCTGACCCTCTTCTCCAAACTAAACAGGATTCCTCTGTGATCCCTAAGTGTTGTGCTCTCTGAGAAGCCCACACTTTAGATGAATTGAGCTTGAAGTACACCTTGGAAGTGCTGGTCAAACTGTCCAGCAGATGATCAGAATTCCTTTTCTAGAGCCAAGGCAAGGGTCCTTCCCACAAACGAGTTGGTTGCTTCAGCAGCCGTGAGGCTGATCTGTGAGGATGTACAGAGGAGGCACCATGAATTCACTGCTCCCCAACCTTGGGGTCGTTTCCAGCCAGGAGCATGTTTTCATCTGTATCTCTGTTGCAGGGAAACATAGTGGCCCTTGTGCACGACAGTGGAGATGCTGAGGATGAGGAAAGCGATATCCTACTGAATGGCCTTAGTCACCAGAGTCACCTGATCCTTCGAGCTGAGGGGTTGGCCACTGGCTTCTGCAGGGACGTGCATGGGCAGGTAGGCGCATGGGCAGGTACGCAGGGGCTGGAATCAGGGGCTTGCTGGGCAGCAAGCTGATAGCCTCTGTGCCTGAATCCAGACTGCACATGGGATAATGCTGGGTTGTGATGTTCCTTTGGGTGAAAAGGAAATCTTGGAAATAGTGTGAATGGTTTTGTCCTTGTTAGTCACACTAACTTCAAAAATCAATTTCAATTCAGAGGTTCAGGAAGTCTAGATAGTGTCTCCATGGACTAGAATGCTCAGGGGGATTGGCACACCTATTTTAGATGTGCTTAGCTTCATACTCCAGGGCAGGTTTTCTACCTGCACGTTTTGGGACCAAAGTGGAGCTCCTGAAGGAGAGACCAACCATCCGGCTTTGTAGGTTTCCGGCGGGCACTGTTCCTTTTACAACAGATGTGGGGAAGCCATACCCATGGGCTGGGGCTGTTGTTGCCTGAGACCAGACCATCAGGGTACTCCCCTTCTCAAGGGACTGCTGTCCTGAAACTTCTCTTTTGGAATCAGCCTCTTTTGGAAGCCTTCACACAGCTTCTAGGTTAGCTTGATGTTGACCACTCTTGACTCATTAAGGGTGGATTGGAGTTTTGGCCGAGAGTCAGTCAAAGGCAAGTATGGAAAATAAAGAAGCAAACTTAGAAATGTTGCAGCTGCCTGTGGGAAGTGAGAGAAGGTTCTGCTGGGCAGCTTGCGGGCTGGCTCTGAGGCCAATCCCCCTGAGCATTCTAGTCCATGGAGACACTATCTAAACTTCCTGAACCTCTGAATTGAAATTGATTTTTGAAGTTAGTGTGACTAACAAGGACAAAACCAAGTTTAAGAAAAAGAATACATACAAAATGTTTTTTTCTCTGGCTGACTTTTCTTTTTCTCTTTCACATTTTCTGTAATGACTAACATCACTATTGTCAAGAAGGACTTTTTATTTTTAGTTAACTGGTAATAAGCTTTATTTTGGAAATTGTCCCATTTCTATATGGGGCATGTAGCTGTGATTTCATAGTGGTCTCATTTGAAGGTCACGGAGGAGGCAGGTAGGGTTCATGATGGGGTCCCGGGGTATGTCTGCACCCCCCTTTCATTCTTCTCCCTGTCACTGTAGCTCAGGATCCTGTGGCGAAGACCACCACAGCACACAGCCCAGTGGAATCGGAGCCTCACGTACCAGTACAAGATACAGGACAAAAGCGTGTCCTTTTTTGCCAAAGGAATGTCTCCTGCTGTCCTGTGACCTGACTTAGGGACAACGGAAGCCACCTTGGACTGTTCTCAGGTGTAAAAGATAAAGCCGCTGAGTGGAAATGGGTCTTTTCACCATAGTGGCTGTAGCTCAGCCACCTCACATCCCCACTGCGACCAGGTGGTGGCGCTGTGTTTCCTGGGGCCACATTCAGAGAACTCACTGAGGAGTCTGCCACCTCTGTGTGGTGGGCCCTGAGGCGTCCTTTGGAATGTTCTGTGTCAATAACCTTTACCCCTAGCTGCCCATTTTGATTTGTTGTGTGTGCCAGGGCCAGAGTGGATTTGACAATGCCAACCACCAGAGTCTGGGTGGCAGGCATTCAGGGTGACAGCTAAGATAATTATGACTGGTATAAAGTGAGTTCCCACATCATAGCTTCCCATGAATTGTCTCACTTAATTTTCAGCTTCATCCTGCATAACTGTTTTTCCTTAAATCCAGGGAGGAGATAGGTGTAGAGAGATCTAGAAGCATGTGCAAGGCTGCAGAACCAGCTGTGGGTAATGGAGTCCTGACTCTATAGCCCTGACTTGCTCACTAATCCTTGTGGAAACAAGAAACTCCCCAGTTCACAACTTCCAAGTCTTCCTGATTCTGTGCTGTCACCTGTGTGTTGATGAGATCTAACCAGCCTTCAGGCCTGGTACCCTGACCTTAGCCGCATAAGCCCCCCGTGTAACGGACCCCAGTTTGCTGTTCTTGCTGCCAGGCAGTGTAGAGTCTGTTGAGGAACCGACATCTTCGCCTGTGAAGAAAAGGAGCTCTAACCCCAGCTTCCTCTGGGTTCCTTCTTACAACAGTGGACACCAGGACTGTTATCTGAAAGGAGGTGCTTTTTATTATATGTAAATTATACCACAATGGATTTCACCCTAAAAATAAATAAAATGTTGAAAAGCACTGCTTTGCAGTGACTAAGGGAAGTTTCATCTGTTAATTTAGCTTTTATTTCATTTTTTAAAAAAGATTTATTTACTTATGCATACAGAACTGGGGTATAGGCCAGAGGAATGGTGGGTGAGAGGATTCACCAGAGACAGAGTGGGGAGCAGAACAGGCTGCTGTATTGAAATAAACAGCGGGTGAGACGAGAGGACTGCTGCACCATGTGGGTCACCTCTCTGGCTGGGGATGGAACTCAGGCTGCAGTAGCCTCATTGTGCTGTGCTTTAACCCATTGCACTACCAGGTGAGGCCTATTTCATTATTTCAGTCTTTTTAAAAGAGAACATTTTATCACCCCCTCCTCAAATCAGACCTTTGCATTGTTTACTTCACTGAACTAGTTTTTGCCTTTATTCTCAAAATATTGCAGACCTGATAGAATATTTGAACATTTTGAGTGTAAGAGGAAGTAGTATTAAAAATCTGATGATTTGGGCCTTCCTTGATGGCACAATGGGTTAGGGCACAGCCCTGCAAACTAGCCACAGCCGCTTCAGTACGAATTTGATCCCCGGCCCCAGAAGTGATCCACATGGCACAGCAGACCTCTCCTGTCTCACCCACTGCTCCCCTCAGCAGTGTACTTTGTTGATCTGCTTGTTCTGCTCCCCACTTTGTATATGTTGAATCTTCTCGCCACCCCTGCAGCTCTGGCCTGTTCTGTATACATAAATAAATAAATCTTTTAAAAAATATGATTCTTTTAACAATTCTTCAGTATTTATGTAAGTTTCATTTGAGCTATATTTCTGGAGGGACAAATTAGCCCAAAATATTTTTTACATGGTTTGAATGTTGCTGCTTTGTTTCTTCACTTAATTTTTAAATGTTTCATGAAGTGATTTGGATGTAATTTTCTGTTTGTGTTTTCTTTTTTAGGATTTATTTAATGCATTCAAGAGCTGGGGTATAGGCCAATGCTATTCAGCATTGTATGGTATTGTTATATCCAAATTTGGTTAGCTATTCTCTGGGCACATAGTTGGGTTTTATAATTATAAATAATTCTGATATGAATTTTGTATACTCACCTGTTTGAAAGTAGGGAAAAGTACTTGTTTCCTTAGATCATTTATACAATCATTCACAGACACCACTTTTTTTTTTTATTTATTACAAAGTTTATTTTTACATCATTTTGCACATTTTTTTTTCCATCTCGATTGTAATCCCCGCAGGTTTCCCAT